CAGAAATAACGCTCCCTTAGATATTATAATATGGTTTGTTGAACTGGAGTTAGTTATTGCAGCTAACCGCCTATCCGACCCAAACATTGTTGTTTTTAATATTATTACCAATGCCTCTTTTAATTGTATTATCATCACACTTGAGAAACAGCCTTATCGTGGATGTACAACGGAACATGTAACTTAATGCCTGCATTTAAGGACGATGAATAGCGTAGTCAATGCTTTAGTGACAAGGAAATTATGTTTAAATAGTAGATATGACGTTATCTGTGACTTCAGTGGAAATGAAGCTTATCCATTGCATTTGTTCAATAGGTTTGTGTCTTACCCTCACGTGTGTGATGCATATGAATATGGCATGAAAACAAATTAATTTGACTGACTCATGAAAACCTCATCCAAAGTAACAGTAAAATAAATAGGACCTACACAATAATGCTCAATCAAACTGATACAGTATAAGGACTGTGATATCCAGCAATTTCTTAAGTATAACAATAAGATTATGACCTGTTTTTAAAAGAAGATAAAAAGTAGTTTGCATGTAAAGAAGTCTGTAAGCCACGCATGTAACTTTACATCTGTTTTTTCAAAGTGTCCTCAAGGTGATACAGACAGGCTGGACCAGAGGAGGAGAGACAGATCTGGACTCCTAACATCAGAGACCTTCAGCACGGATTCCAAGGTGCATATACCTTTTTCATACTTTACAAAGAATGCATAAAGTAATGACTCTAATTAGGGCTGGGCGATTTGGCCTAAAAATAAAATCGCGATTTTTTTCTAACTAATGGACAATTTTCGATTTAAACCTCGATTTTTTCTGGTTTTTTTTCTTTTATGGATTTAGAAAATGATTTTATTGATTTAAAAAATGAGTAAAAAGGAGGGTTTCTGCCCCATTACTTCTCTTCTTACTTCTATAAGAATAAAACACGGTGAGGTGTAAAATGTCAGTTTAAATGCTGTTTTATACTGAAAAACTAGAAGTTCTTGTGCACAACCAGTTTTATTCTGAAAATCCTTAATCTCCGGACGGTTAGCATTTAGCATGTGGCTAATATACCATTTACTATAGAGGTGAATTTAGTAGCGATATGACACGGAGTGTTGCACACCGAAACCTACTGATTTCAACACTACAACTATAGACGTGGAGATATTATTATTGCTGAATATTAAATGAAGGTACAGTTTATTTGAATACGTTTGTTTACAGACGTGGGTAGTAGTATGAGACAACATCAGGAACTACCGTAAATGAAACAAGCCGTGAAGTATTTCCTGTATTTTTGGAGTATTGATTACAGCGTTTAAAATGTATTAAATGAAAAGTCATGAAAGAGATAAGGAGGAGAACAGGCGTGTTTAGTTATATATTTAATGTACAATGTCGGAGTCCTCTGTTATGCTCAACAACGAACATTGGAGACGTGGAGGGCCGGCCCACAGCGAGCCAGCGGAGGAGATATATCAGCTGGAGAGGTGGAGCTCGCTCTCTTCCCTTCGCTCACGAGAGCTTTTTTAATTAAAGCACCATTTGAACCTTCTCAGAGACTCCATTTAGTCTCCTTTTAAAGCTTCTCTCCTGGACGCGAGAATAACGAACACAGCATAACAACAGCAGATCAGGCAGAGCTGCAGATCGGGTAGTCACAGGCAATGTGGCTGAATTTTGGGCGCGTTCTGGAAAGTGAGAGAGTAAGCTACTACGGAGTCCCTTAAAGCAAAAACAAATCTGCGGAGTCTAGAAATGTTTTTAAATCGCGATTTTTCGGTTCAGCCATTTCACAAACCGTTGGAAAGTAAAAATGCAAATTAATCGTGAAAACCGAAAAAATCGCCCAGCCCTAACTCTAATACACTGATATACATGCCATTAAACATGACTGAATACTAGATCACCTACACATCAGTGATGTTGAGAGCACTTTCTTAGCTAAAGGTTACATTTAACCAAGCAACATCACTTTTTTGTTCAACTTTCAATGTATTTAAGGCAAATATTATTGAACATAGTGAGAGCTGTGACCCTTTGTCTTTCAGTGAGACAACCGGACAGAGCAAGCTTCTACAGTTGCACTAAGTTTTGATAACAGTTAAATATTATTTGAATAATACATTTATTTCAATGTTGATGAATTTAGAACGGTTTATTCATAATCTGATTATCTTTGTAGTACACTGTTGGATTTAAAAAACACATTCAAATAAGAAAATCATTATATTTATGAACAAACAAACACACCTCTTTCTTAAATAACACACTTGCTCTGCAATAATATGTTTCTTGATATTTCTGTTAGGAAAGGACATGCCTGAAAGACAGGACTGCTTCACCATTTTCTCTTTCTCTGAGGGTCCAGAAGAACATCCAAGAGGGAAAGGAGAAGCTGATGTGATAAAAGTCAGCTGATCAAATGCATTTGCCTCACTTTATGAGCTTCACAATACTTGTGCCTTGTACCGCCGAGTTTGCAACGTCATAAATAAATGGTGCCAATCTTCAGTCAGATGTGAATGTGTAATTTAACATTTTCAGTAAGAATAACGGACAAAAGGAGTGCAAATACAATTTATTGAAATGTGAACTAAAAGTTATCAAGCATGAACCATCACCATTTTTTTTAAAAATAAAAACGAAATAATATACATAAGTTACACTCAATGTTAATCTGTTAATTGACAGGCCTGTGCAGGTGGTAACAGCTATGTCCAGCATGGGCTAAGTTCTGTAGGTGCAGCTGGTGCAGGTCCTCCTCCCTCAGGCCTGGTCCTCCTCGCAGGGAAAGACCCTCAGCCCTCTCTGGCCAAACCAACAGACAGGACGTTCATAAAGCTGAGGTCTCCCCCAAAGTCTCTAATCATCCATTCTGTGAATATGAGAGGGGAACAAATAGTGTAATAGATGCGCTTTGGAGGATAAGAAATATAAAGTTAACTGTTGAGTTGCTCAGTTTTTTAGATTGACAGGGTTTAATAACACGAACAAAAGGAGAGAAATAAAGATTGGTCTTTCAATAAATTGTGTTGATTTTGTCTTTTGAATTGTTTGTCTGAAGTCAAGTAGCTAGAACTGTTACTTATAGTTTTAATGATACAGTCTGGTTATAATGTTTGGAGGAGGCATCACAGGTAAGAGCACCATTTGTTGTGTTCCATCCACAACAAATTGATGTGTGTATTTATTTATCTACTATTTCTTGAATCATTACTGTCAGTCCAAAACAAGAGATTTTGTTTTGGTAACATTTAAAAAAATAAAAAAACATTATCTATTTTCCACTACACTATCTTGAATACTTTAGTTTTTACGTCACTACATTTATCTAACAGCTTTAACATTGTAAAGGTGTCACTTCGGACTCTGGGTAATTATGACAGCATGTCCTACTATTTTGAGACTTAGAACAAACCAGACCTTAATCTATTAATGTAGAAAATAGTCAGCACATTAAACCATTATGAAATTAATAATGAGTTAGCTCATTGTTCAAAATGAACTACAACAGTTAAGTCAACTCGTGCATCGGTAATACCAATAAATCAAATGATATCATATAATAGTATAACTTGTGTCTACTTTAAATGCTTTAACAACACTTTTCCGGCGGCGATGTCCCTCTGGCGTGCTGCCAAGCCGGTCCAGTATGGCCTTCCTCAGATGCCGGTACACATGCCGAGAGACTGCTGTGGGCGGCTAGCTGCGCACCCCCAGATAGCAGAGGCAATAGCCGCGCTGCCCACTCCTCCTCCGGCCACCCGCACGCCGCCGCTGTGCCCTCAAAGATGTCCAGGTATGCCTCCGGATCATCCTCTGCCGTCAGTTTCTGGAGGGCAATTGAAGGCGGTCGGGCCGGGTTGGTAGCGGGATCGGCCTCCCGAGCGGCCGGACGCTGCAGCAGCTCCCGTAGGAGAGCCCGGTCCTCGCGCTGTCTCGAGGCGATCCCGAGCAGAGCCTTGCTCTGCTGTCGCTGTAATGCTGTGGTGGTCTCCTGCATGTGAGCGAGACGTTGGAGGGACTGACCCAGCGGGGTTTCTCCTTCTGCCATCAGGTCCCTGTTCAGCCGCCACTGTGGGCCTCTCCGCTCACAGTGTTCAAATAGGGACGGAAAGAGCAGGTTGGTTTATCACAGGCGTTTATTAGCTCCAAACAAAGTATACACGGGTGTTACGTTCCCACTTGGCTAGGGTGGTACAAACGGGAAACGACACGACCAGATTGGATTTGGTATATTCGTTACCGGTGGTTTTATTGTTACTGAAACTAAGTAAAATGATGGTCACACAGATTGGCCCCACAACACGGGTCAATCTGTCACTATAACACAACACAAAGGGTCTCCAAAAGAGAGTTGCCCCGCTACACAAAGAAAAACAAATCTCACTACTAAAGTGGAAACAAACAATAAACAAAACGGGACTGTGGAAACACACAGCTGGTGCGGGTCTACAGGTGCTAATCACCTGGCTCTACGCAATATCCACTCACAGGAACGCTGGTCTACAGGTGCTAATCAACCTGGATCTAAGCAGTATAAACACACAGGAATGCTGGTCGACAGGTGCTAACCAACCTGGATCTAAGCAGTATACACACACACAAAATCCCTACGCTAACACAGAACCCGACGACACACTGCTACTCAGTGTGCTCGCCTAGAACCCTACTACAGACACTGCTAATCAGTGGAGCTAATACAAAAGACACACGGCTAAATACTCTCAGAATTCACAGAAGGAAGGCTTATCACAAGGATAGGGTTGAGGCATCTGACACAAAATACAGAGCCTCTCGACTGTTGTCCGTGCTCAGCCTTTATACTCCTCCCCCGGATGACGTGGCAGAAGCGAGCAGGGGTTGGGCGACGTCTGTCCAATCCCCGCGGATGTTGAGCGGTCCGGACGGCCAATGACAGCAGAGGAACTGCCCAGCTCATGTACATACACAACCAGACTTAAGCTCACAAGGTAGCAGCGGCTGTAACAACGGGTCTCCAACGTTGCCCGTGTGGGAACCTTCACAGGTCCTTTGGCAACCTTCCAGGATCCCGCCTACTGCAAAACCGCCCAGAACCAGGTTACGACATGCTTTTATTCCGGCACTGATTACCTGATTCCGATCAGCTGTCTGGCCTCCGGCCGAGCCACTCCCTTCACTCCAGCAGCCGGTGTTGCCGTTTAACTGGTTACACCGGGGAACTCGTGACGTTCTAACGGTAGGAATGGGGCGTGTACTTTGAGGAGCCATTGTCGAATAACCAGGAAATACACATTTCGATCGCTTCTTTTGTTGTTTACATTTATCTTTTGGTATATTTGCAGGGTTGCCAACTCTCACGCATCTGGCGTGTGACACACGCTTTCACTCTCAATCTCACACTCTCACGCTGCCCAAACTATTCTCACGCCCAAAACAAGATGAACCGGCGATCGTTTTTGGTTGGTTATTTACAATGTTGAGTTGACAGCTGCTCAAGCTGTCGATCCGCTCCCTCCCCGCCCCCACCACTCTTAACAACGTTAACAGACAGCAGAGCAGTGGGAGCCGGTTGGTCAATCCCCGACCCGTATTGCGCATGCGCAGATCTAAGATCCAAGATCCAGTAGAAATTATAAAAAAGTAAAAGTCTGCTGCTTATTGTTCTACTAGGCCAAAATAGAGTCAAAGAGTATATGAGAGTGAGTGTGTTAATATATTTGACAGTTTGGAGTAAGTCTGTAGATTTGTTTGTGTGTGTGTGTGTTTCATGTATAGGCCTCTCACGATAATTAATTTAGTTGGATACATTTTCCCGGAAATTATTGCGATAAACGATAATATTGTCGGCACCGTTGTATGACCATTTTAGACCACTGACATAATGATGATATATAATAATAATTCAAGTACATCCTTTCAAACTGCTAGTCACATCCTCATGTAAATGGCAATTTATCGAGTTCATTTTTATTTATCGTACGATAAGTCAATTAATTGCTTATTGCGACAGGCACACAATAAAACAGTGGAAACAAACATGTGTTTGACTTTCATTAGTGAATGAAACTTTGTGCCCTTTATAGTCTGTGACCAATATTGTGTATTTGTATATATTGTATATATATCCTATATGCTAAGGTCCCGCTGCTGACACAATAGCAGTCATTTAGTGCGCATAGGATATTTAACTGAAAATACTAGGGAAATGTTTACTCAGAATTGTTCTTCCACACTTGCCCCTGCTAACATCTCAGTAAATGAGCTAGTAGATCATTTTAATTCAAAAATTAAAAATGTTATAGATGCCATTGCTCCAACTAAGGTAAAGGAAGTGACTGGGAAGAAAATATCTCCATGGAGAAAGGCCATGACCGTGAGAGCAGAAAAAAGAGTGTCGAAAAGCTGAACGTAGACAAATCTCCAGGTTCACTTTGAAATCTGTAAAGAGAGACTTGGCCTTTATAATTTGGAATTGAAAAACGCACGACAGTCTTTCTTCTCTGACATCATTACCAAAAACAATGCACGTGCCTTGTTTGCTACCGTCGACAGACTAACTAACCCCCCAGTGTCAGTAGCCTCTGAATTTCTATCCACCAGGGCATGCAATGATTTTGCCTCCTTCTTCACTGACAAAATTCAGAAAATCAGACAAGCAGTCAGTGCCTCTGCATCAGGTACAGCAAATGTGTTGTCCCTATGTCCACCTAATATAAATTCAAACACCATGACACAATTCCATCAGATTAATGATAAAAACCTAGAGGACATTATACAACTTCTGAAATCCTCCTTCTGCGGCCTTGATATTATTCCAACAGGATTTTTCAAAGATGTTTTTCGTTGCATGGCCTCAGATCTACTTCATATAGTAAACAAATCTCTTCACTCAGGTATTTTTCCACAGGCCCTGAAAACTGCAGTCATTAAACCGCTCTTAAAAAATAATAATCTAGATGCTTCAGTAATGAACAATTACAGGCCCATATCAAACCTGCCATTTCTAGGTAAAATCATTGAAAAAGTTGTTTTTCAACAGTTGAGTAATTTCTTGCATTTAAATAGTTGTTTCGATGTGTTCCAGTCAGGCTTTCGTCCAAACCACAGCACTGAGACTGCTCTTGTAAAGGTCTTCAATGACATCCACTTAAACACAGACAGTGGCAGAACTTCAGTGTTAGTATTATTAGATCTCAGTGCTGCGTTTGACACTGTTGACACTCTTCTCTTTAACATCTACATGCTACCACTGGCTCAGATAATGAAAAACAACAAAATAAGTTACCATAGCTATGCAGATGACACACACATTTACGTAACAATTTCACCAGGAGACTATGCTCCAATTCAAATACTGAGTAAGTGCATTGAACAAATCAATGACTGGATGTGTCAGAACTTTCTCCAATTAAACAAAGATAAAACTGAGGTAATGGTTTTTGAAGCCAAGGCAGAACGTATAAAAGTTAGCGCTGAGCTTCAGTGTGCAATGTTCAAAACAACAGATAAAGCCAGAAATCTAGGTGTAGTCATGGACTCTGACCTGAGTTTCAACAGTCACATTAAAACAGTTACTAAATCAGCCTACTATCACCTAAAGAATATATCTAGGATTAAAAGACTAATGTCACAGCAGGATTTGGAAAAACTTGTCCATGCTTTTATCTTCAGTAGACTGGACTACTGTAATGGTGTCTTCACAGGTGTCACTAAAAAATCTATTAGGAAGCTGCAGCTGATTCAGAACGCTGCTGCTCGAGTCCTCACTAACACTAAGAAAGTGGATCACATCACTCCTGTTCTGAAGTCTTTACACTGGCTTCCTGTGTGTCAAAGAATAGATTTCAAAATACTGCTGCTGGTTTATAAAGCACTGAATGGTTTAGGCCCAAAATACATTTCTGACCTCCTGCTAAATTATGAACCATCCAGATCTCTCAGGTCTTCAGGGACTGGTCAGCTTTCTGTCCCCAGAGTCAGAACTAATCATGGAAAAGCAGCGTTCAGTTATTATGCTCCAAATATCTGGAACCAACTCCCAGAAACCTGCCGGTCCGCTGCAACTCTGACTACTTTTAAATCCAGGCTAAAGACTTTTCTTTTTGCCGCTGCTTTTAATTGAACTATTCACATCTTAAACTGCACTGTAACTTTTATCCATGTATTTTTTCTTTTAATGTTTATTTTATTATCTTTTCTTTTTAATGACTGATTTGAAATGCCATTTTCTTAATGTCTTTCGTTTTTTGTAAAGCACTTTGAATTGCCTTGTGTTGAAAGGTGCTATATAAATAAACTTGCCTTGCATATGTGTAATTAAACCCATGATATCAAAATCTCACTCCAGCCAGGTACCCAAAGTTGGCAACCCTGGTTACTTGTCTTTTTGGAGTTACATTTTCTAAATGAATGGCCAGTGAATGAATATACATGTGTTTACTTATTTATTTGGTGTAATATTATTCATTTATAGTCCAATATTATCCTATAAGTATAAGCCAGTGAATTAATCTAATCTCTTTGTTTTTCCACATTTGTTTTCAGTGATGCAGTTGAGTTTGAAATGGCTTCTGGACCCCCATCTGCCACTCAGCCTGTCTCAACAATGCCACGACCATCCACAGCCGTCTACTTCCACTCAGCCTGCCTCAAGAAATCCACAACCATCCACCCAGCCATCCCCACCCTCACATCCACAGCCGTCTACTCCCACTCAGCCTGCCTCAACAAAGCTACCACCATCCACTCAGCCATCCCCACCCTCACATCCATCAACGTCTGCTTCCACTCAGCTAGGCCATTCCACTCGAAGGGTTTCTGCTCCCCCTCCTCAGCCATCATCTTCTGATTCTGAGACACCCAAAGAGCTGCCATACAAAAGGAAAGGAAAAACATCTCTAAAACCCAGGAAGCGTGGCCGAGGTGGGTCTTCCTCTTCCAGAACAACCGAGGAAGAACTCAGGTGGCACAACAGAGAGGAGAAAGACCGAAGACCAGAGCCATTGAGGTTCATACCAGCCAGGATCCCAGGCCCAACCGTTGACAGCACTGCAGCATGGTCTCCCCTCTCCATTTTCAGGCTTTTCTTTAGCACTGCCGTGGTTAATATAATCATTGCGAACGCCCACGCCCTGAGGAGATTACAGGCAGGAAAGAAATATCTTTGGAAAGTGCTGACTGCGAGGGATTTTTACACTTTCCTGGCCATTATCATTTTGACAGGCCTCGTCCACGTTCACCAACGATCGGACTACTGGAGGAAGAAATGGCCGTACTACTTCTCATTCCCATCTGATAGGATGTCCCGGCAACGCTTTGAAGCCATCATGTGGTCTTTGCACCTGAGCAACCCTGAAGAAGACGAGGAAAACGATCGCAAAAGGAACACCGCAGAGTACGACAGACTTTTCAAAATCAAGCCCCTGTACACTGACATCATTGCTGCCTGCAAAGCACATTTCCAGCCCTATCAGAAGATTTCCATAGATACGATACGATACGATATACTTTATTGTCCCCGTAAGGAAATTCGTTCTGGGCTCCGTCCAGCAGTTCCGCATACATGTACATAATATACAAACATAGTGGACATTTAAGAGACATACACATATCATCAATCATACACCGTTTGAACAAACACAATACATGCAGACGCACATACTGACAATGGCGACCTATTGCACAACCCTTATGGCCAACATTTAAAAAAAAAAAAAATTAAAAAAAAGTACATTTCATTACATTTGACTTCGACTACATTTCATTTCCTGTCAATGTTAAGAAGTTTAACGGACATTGGTAGGAATGAGTGCTTATAGCGGTTCAGCCTGCTCTTGGGAACCCTGAATCTTCTACCAGAAGGTAGGAGCTGGAATTCTGGGTGGAGTATGTGGGTGGGATCAGACACTATTTTGTTTGCCTGTCTGATAATGGACTGCTCATATATGTTTTGGAGAGATGGGTGTTTTTTAACCCCCATAATTTTCATAGCCGTCTGTACCAGGCGAGCGATCTGTGACTTTGACTGCACTGTCAAGTTACCGTACCAGGCAGTGATACCATACCTAATGATGCTCTCCAACACTGCATGATAAAACAGTAACATGAACTTCTGGTCGACTCCGAAAGCCCGGAGTCGACGCAGAAAGTACAATCGCTGTTGAAGTCTAGAGCACAGACCTTGAACATGCGCCTTCCAGCTGAGTGTATTATCTAGATGGACACCAAGGTACTTATAGGAGCTGACCTGAGTTATGGGTTCATTGTGGATAACCACCGGGCTAAGGTCACCCACTGCCTTTGGGTCCCACACCATCTCCTCAGTCTTCTTCACATTCAGCACTAGATGGCTAGAATCACACCACTGCACAAATCTCTCTATTTCAGAGTGATAAGCCGATGAACTGCTGCCCTTGTGCATTAAGCCAAGGATAGCTGTATCATCAGAGAATTTGATGATATAATTCTCCGGGTGGGCTCTTGTACAGTCGTTTGTGTACAGTGTGAAGAGGACCGGGGAGCTCACACAACCCTGGGGGGCTCCTGTACTGATGGTCCGGGGCTCTGAGAGGGCATTGTTGACCCTGACTTGCTGAGTGCGATTGGTTAAAAACGAAAAATACCATTTCAAGATGAAAGGATTTATATTGATCTTTATCAGTTTTTGAAGCAAGATGTGAGGCTGCAGTGTGTTAAAAGCCGAGCTGAAATCCACAAACAGTAGGCGTACATATGCCTTAGGGTCTTCCAGGTGTTTAGTGACCAGGTGTGTGATGCTATTTAGAGCATCGTCTGTGCCACGCCCTTGCTTGTAGGCAAACTGAAAAGGGTCTAAATGTACATCAACCTCCATTTTTAGCAGCGGCACCATGATCCTCTCAAAACATTTCATGACAATGGATGTCAATGCAACAGGCCTAAAATCATTGTTTACCTTTGGACAAGGTTTTTTGGGGACAGGTTTTATTATTGATTTTTTCCAGAGGGTGGGGATGGTGTGAAGATCAACAGATTTTTGAAATATGGGACACCATGCTGGTGTCAGTTCTTCTGCAAATGTCTTGAGGAGGAATGCAGAGATGCCATCTGGCCCTGTGGCCTTCTTAGTACAGGTGTGTTTGAAAAGTGATTGGACCTTTAAAGGGTCAATCACCACCCTTTCATCCTGGTCACTAGCAGGGATTGTCTCTACGATGTCTGTACATTCAGAGGAGAAGTCCTGGGTTTCAAATCTCATGTAAAAGTCATTCAGTTAATTTGCTTTTTGCAGGTCATCAGAGGTACAGAGAGTTTTTTTTAGCTGGGGTCATATTTGTGATTGCCTTCATAGTGTCCCAAAGTTCCTTGGAGTTCATTGTAGAAAAGTTTTGTTCTATAATGTCCTTATGTCTCCTTCTAGCTTCTCTGAGCATGTGGTTGAGCTCCTTTTGCACACATTTCAGTTGCGTTTTATCCCGGTTTTTAAAAGCTATATTTTTACGATTTATGCAGTCCTTAACCTCTTTAGTTATGTATGGTTTGTTGTTGGGGTACACAGTTATTTCTTTCTGAGGTATCACATTGTCAACACAGAATTGTATATAGTCAGTTACCGTCTCAGTAGCATCATCAGTAGATGAAAGGATGGTTGCTTCCAAGGCCCGCATCAGCATGAAGCAGTACATGAAAGACAAGCCAACAAAGTGGGGATACAAACTGTTTGTGCTGGCAGATTCCTCAACGGCATACACCTGGAATTTTTTTGTGTACACAGGGAAGAGTGAGTTCACCGAAGGCAAGGGACTCTGCTACTCCTCCGTGATGGACCTCCTGCCACTCCGTCTGCTCGGTGGGGGCTACACACTCTTTGTGGACAACTTTTACGCCAGCCCCACCCTCTTTGGGGATTTGTCCACTAAAAACATTGGCTGTTGTGGGACCATTCGGAAAAATCGAGTTGGTTTTCCACAAACTCAGTTGAACGCCCTTCCAAAGAAGGCTGAAAGGGGAGAATTGCGGTGGATAAGGAAAGGCAAACTCCTGTTTGTGAAGTGGATGGACACCCGTGAAGTGTCCATGTGTTCCACCGTGCACGAGGCCTTCAGCGGTCAGACGGTCCAGCGGAAAGTGAAACAGGCTGGCGTGTGGCAAACCAAGAACGTTCCCGTTCCTGACGCTGTGGTGGACTACAACCAAAGCATCGGCAGCGTGGATGTGTCCGACGCTTTGATCGGGTACTACGGCGTTCTCCACAAAACCATGAAATGGTACAAGACTTTTTTTTTCCATTTCATGGACATTGCAGTGGTGAACAGCTTCCTTCTCCACAAGGAGCTGTTCAAGATGAGGAGTGACTCCAGCAGGACAAAGCCACACACCCAGAAGACTTTCAGGGAGCAGCTTGCTGCAGAATTGTTGGAGTTTGATGAAGGCCCTGCACCTCCACCACCCCCCCCCTCCTCCACCACTCACATGCATGCCCGAGTATTATGGGGAAGATGCCACCAAGGTCAGGAAGAACTGCAGGAGGTTACTAGATGCTGGACTCAAAAGGGTGAAGACACCTGTGTACTGCAGGAAGTGCCAGGTCCCTCTGTGCTTCACTGTCAAAAAGAACTGTTTCAGGGAGTGGCACGACCTAAATACTGGAACATTTAGGTAGGTATAAAGTTCAGGTAGGTATAACGTTTTGCGAGTGTTTATTTAAAAAAAAAATACTGTTTTTACATACCTAGTGTGATTTTATTGAATAGTGTGTTGGTAAAATATTTGTTGTTTTTTTGCATTTATTAGGCTATTTATTACATGATATAAAACTGTTAACCTCTAATAAGAAACAAAGAACTCTTATAAGAAACAAAGAACTCTTGTTTATAAGAGTTCTTTGTTTCTTATAAGAGTTCTTTGTTTCTTATTAGAGGTTAACTCCTCTATATCTCCTTATAAGGAGAATTACAAATAATACACAGGCCTACTTTAAAATAAATTAAACACAGCACTTGGGGAGTCTTCTGCACATTTGAAGGGAAAAAAATATAATTAAAATGGGCCCACTTTGAAATAAATAAAACATATAGCTGCACCCTAAAAAGAGTTAAAGGTAGGTAAGAATGGAGAAACCAGCTCGAGTGCGCTAGAATTTGAAAGTACACAACCGGAAAAAATATGCCTCTTCCTTCAGACTTTCTTACAGAGTCCCTCCTCCAACACACACGAACGCGCACATGACCAATGAGGGCACGAGATAAGTTTGTGCACAGATGGAAAGCTGACAGGCAGTTAGGCCATCCAGTTATTTTAGCCGGGCCGGCTCAGATGATTGGTCGTGCTTTTTACAGCGCTACGAATTCCAGAGATTAATTTTTGTATGTATTTATTGTCAAAGCATTTAATATATGTATTGCTATCGGGACGTTAAGAGCATTCCATGGAATATAACAAAAAGTGTTTTCTGAAATAAATTACATACCCCATTGAATTATGACTGAAGATCGTCAGATGTCTTCCTCTCCCTTGTTGTTCCTCGATACGTAAAGGCTGCACCACCGTTGACAACTTCTCTCTACATATCAAACATACCGGTAAACCAGCATCGTTTGCTGTGAAAGCATATAACTCTGTCCACACAGAATTAAATCCTGTGTTCCTCCGGTACTTTTCTTTGATGTATCCATAGTTCGCTCATTGAGCCGTGGGTCAGGTTATTCGCCTCCAAGAAAAGGCGCTCGCGCGGGACCGTAGCAGGATGTGACGCATATTTTAGTTGACCTAATTAAAACCGTTTTGTTTTTTATTTATGTGTCACAGTATCACCTCAAAATACAAGATACGAAACATTTTCAACCATGCAACAAAATATAAATAGTCCTACAAATACTTTTATTTTATTTCCTTCTTATTTTTGTCTAAACTCAAGGGAGCCAGAGCAGAGGGCTTAAAGGGCCACGGGTTGCCGACCCCTGGTATAGTGTGGTAAAATATTTGTTGTTTTTACAAACCTACAATGTGGTTTTATTGTATAGTACGTTGGTAAAATGTTTGTTTTTACATGCTTATAGTGTGTTGGTAAAATGTTTGAAATAAATCTGCCCCAGTTGGAGTCAAATGTTACCTATGTTTCCGTTTTTTGTATTGTGCAAGTACACCTACACACTGACCTACAGTGTGGTTTTATTGTATAGTGCATTGGTACAGTTACATACACACACAGCTACACTTACACATACACACCTACACATACCCACACAGCTACACTTACACACCTACACATTCCCACACACCTACACACACACACAGCTACACTCACACACACCCACACACACACCTACACAGCTACCTACACCTACACACACTCGCACAAAAAAAAAATGCAAAATTGGATTTTTTTTTTGGGTCGAATTAATACCTATAGTGATTCAATGTAATACAATGATTTTTATAGTCTGGTACCTGGAAAAAGGTCAAATGGCACTGATGGAACCAGATGCACCCAAATGTGCCCAAAGCTTATTCCGACTTTATTTACATAAACCTCTCTAAAAAGGTCAAATTTCACTTGTTTTACCTCAATCTTGATACAGGGTACTTATATGTTATACTTAGGATTCCTAAAGCTTTTAGGCTACTAACCCATCATTCAACGTTGGTCTTCACTATAAGTAATGGGTTTTCTTTAGGCGGAGACAGGAATTTACATTTTTTTGCTATGTTCCATCTGAATTTACTCTGACACAGAAACATATATATTGATTTTGACACTTCTACATCCAACTCACAGATGTAACCTTTATTTGATAACAACAATTATTCATATAAACCTTTTAGAAGTGAAGTTATAGTCATTTGTTCTGGGCATGTCATTTTCGAGCCTGAAACCTGAAAAACAGGCTTGGGGTTTAACAGGTTACATCAAGATGAAAACAGACATTGCACAGTATTCATGTGTTAAGAAGCCCACTCTTCAAACGAATTCATTCAATTCAAGCTGAAAACATTTTTTATGAAATCTAAGTTGATAAGAAAAAAGCCCAATAACTTATTTTCATAACACGCTTGAAATAAACCATTCCTAGTTCCTCTTATGATAAGTAAGCTGAGGCTCCTGTTTTAAGGAATTAGCTGCTAACAAAATAAATGAAACCCTATGGAGAGCTGTGATGTAGGCTGTTGTTTTTCTTAAAGCATATTCAAGTATTAAGCATAATTTACCTATACATTTGATTGATTTTACTGACATATAACTTAACTTATGAGGCAATATACCTCACCTCTAGTGAGTGGCCCAGCTCTTCGTATATTTTTCTGTATGTGGCCCTCGGTGAAAAAAGTTTTGACACCCCTGAATTCAACATAATTTTCCCTTAAAACGTACCCGCCCACAGAGTAAATAACTCACTGAAACAGGTCCTGTCATCCGAGCACACGTCACAGTGGGGGGGACAGCGTCTGCAGGTGCCATCGTCTGCAGGGTAGGACCTCAGTGAACAGTTGAGTCTACACATACCCCCTTCCAAGTAGTGGCCATCAGCACAGGACAGACACTGGGTCTTGATCCCATCACATGAGGAACAGGAGACATCACAGGCTTCACAGGCCCCCTCTAATGTCTCAAAGAAACCTCTGAAATAGGTCAGGAGATTTATTTTAAGGCATAATAAGAAAATTGCAGTTAACAATAACACATCATTATTAAAAGAGTTTTTCTTTATTGTACTTATCAGCGTATCCACATGCTTACTCTGGGCAAGTTGACCAGCACCTCCCCTGGTGGAGAAAGAGTGTGTAGCTCCCTTTGGAGCAGCTGATGCAGTTATCTCTGGTGTCCATGCAAGACTCACAGTTTGGAGAGCAGTCCTCACACAGCTGAGTGGCAGAGCTTGTATAAGAGCCGGATGGACACTGCACTACACAGGAACTGTCCTGACTCAAGAAATTCCCTGTAATAATGCACACACACAATGAAGAAAAATAACTGGGAAAATGATTGATTGCATAGTCATGTAAGACGGTAAATATTTGTACCTTTGAAACAAGTAGAACAATCGAGTGCTTGTGGGCCAAAGCAGGTCTTACAGGATGCATCGCACGTGTGGCATTCACTGAATTGTCCTAACAAATAAAGCAGAGTAACTGTAATATAAGATAACATCCCAGTTGACAGAACCAGTTGTGAAAGTACTAAGATATTTTACTTAAAAGTAGGAATATCACAGTATAGTAATACTCTTTGCAAGTAAATGTTCAGCATTTAAAATTTGACTTCAGTACAACATTTTAGCAAACAAATAGTACCACAAGTGAATGTATTCATTAGAATGTCCCAACTAATAATCGTATTATAACTGTTTTTTTAACTATTGATAAATGTATTTGTTTATCCCTTCCATATTGTTGGGCTTATTTTATTAACTGTATGAACTGCTGGGTAGCTCAAACTATAATATTCTATATCGTAATTTATTACTTGATAAATAGATCACGTAAAAATCTAAATTTGCAAATGAATTTGTAACTAAATATGCAAAATAAATGTAAGAGGTACAATATTTGTGAAAAGTGTTGGAGTATAAATAACATTTAATATATAACAGAAGTAGCCATTTTGGTTAAAATACTCATGTAAAGTACAGGTATCCTGACTTTATTCTTAAATACCAGACTTGTGTTGATGTACTTAGGTATTTTTCCACCCCTTACAAGAATTAAAACAATAAAATCCTGTTAACCTGAGCAATTGAGCACAGCAATTTGAGAATTGTATGCTTTACCCACTTTGACCACTAGAGGGAGGCATAGTAAGCTGTTTTGGCAAAATGATGGCTGCCCTTCAGAAAACCTGCAGCATGTTAACTCTACTAAAGGAATCTAACATTCCCTCTTTTAAAACAAGATGAAAATTAACGTAAGTTAATACATTTTAGAATGGTCTGTTACACAGAGAAATTATAACACAAAATGTTTAGGAGGGCTTAATGCTGGCCTGAAAAATGTATTTGTTTATCCCTTCCATATTGTTGGGCTTATTTTATTAACTGTATAAACTGCTGGGTAGCTCAAACTATAATATTCTATATCATAATGTATTACTTGATAAATAGATCACGTAAAAATCTAAATTTGCAAATGAATTTGTAACTAAATATGCAAAATAAATGTAAGAGGTACAATATTTGTGAAAAGTGTTGAAGTATAAATAACATTTAATAAATAACAGAAGTAGCAATTTTGGTTAAAATACTCATGTAAAGTACAGGTATCCTGACTTTATTCTTAAATACCAGACTTGTGTTGATGTAGTTAATAATAATCTTTACAGTTTGAATAAGCTGTTCACAAACGGTTTTCTGGCTTTATATCTAGACTTTTATATGTATGGTTCCCCACCCTTTCCATCATTAAGGTGTGACCTGATGAGTATGGTGATTGACACTGCAAGAAAAGGTGAAGATAATTATACTGTGTTAGCAAATAATATTCCTGTCTAGATAGTTGAAACCATGACTACTGTTCTTCATCCGACTCCCCAATGTAGCTGATGATTTTCGAGGCACTTTCAATCCAAGGGTGTCCTTTAAGAAAACCACATTCCTGGGGCACTTCCACTGCACCTCTCTCAGTTGGATTTCAGATGTTAGGGGATTACAACTATACACAAGCAAAGAGCTCAACTTTTTTGAAATGTTGAGCACCAAATACCCAGAATGTGTTTGTGTCTGGAAGCACAATACGGCCGTGTAAGTGATTAATGCATCAAAGGGAGCTCTGTACAGCAGAGATGCAGAGACCATGGTCCGCATTAGTGAGTGGCCTTATGGTTTATAAACTAAGCCTTTAATACAAGCTTGAAAAGCTTTTCAAGAAGCCAGTGATCTTATTATGTGGCAAGTTAGAAGCGGAAACTCTAGAGGAGATATGCAATCAACATGCAGTAACGTGATTCATCAGATAATCAAATATTTGATCAAATCGGATCAAAGAGTCAAAAAGCCCATGTCATCTTGTGGAGAAACATAACGTTTTTTATATGAACATAAGCAGGGTTTCGCTGATCTAATGTAATGCTATGGTCGTACAGTAAGTAACAGATCGGGTTAACCACAACACAGAAAGCTGTTATTCCCCGTTATTATAAAGTATGTGTGGCGGTGTGGTGCTCATGTAGAATGCTTGGTTTGCTGACAACGCCACCTGGGGGAGTTTCGCCCCCAGGAAATTACTAAAAACTAAAGTTATACAATTTAATAAAAGGCAATCAGGTTCGTTTGAACACCACAGGCAGAGACAGTATAAAGGATATTACAACAATTGTTATTTTATTGGTACATAATTATATTCCTAATAGTACACAATATAATGTTATAAAAGTTCTCCAGGGAGAAGGGAGAAGGACAGTGCTGGGGCTTACCACGGCGGCAATTAACAAAACGGGGAGGAAGGGGTCAAATCAAAATCACCCGTGACACTGCACACCAAACAAAACGGACACGTGAAGAACACCACCACCAGGGATTGGGTTTGCCGCCTCGAGCCCACACCACCTGTCCGGCACAAGAGAAACAGTTAAAAATCAATAAGATTATAAAACTTGGTTGGAGATGAATAAACAAAAGGAAAACAACTAAAATAAACCAAATCTAAATAACCGTAAACAGCAAAGACTTGAGTAAACTAATTAAACCAAACGTTAACAAAAGAAAATAAACAAAATCACACAATAACAAAATACTATGAATGTACTCAAAACATGAGATGGACAAAACAGCTAATCAAAAGAAATCAACTAAACAATAAGTGTCCTTGCAATTCCGCGACCTCAAAACGGCCCTGGTGACAGTCCAACACGGAGTAGTCAGGGCCTGTCAATTATATGACGCCACAGCTCGGTGCGAGAGCTCGCCTAGCCAAAACAGCAGGAAGGGGGGGGAATGATGACATGGGGGGGGGGGGGGGGGGAATGATGACATGGGGGGGGGGGGGGGGAATGATGACATGGGGGGGGGGGGGGGGGGAAATGATGACATGGGGGGGGGGGGGGGGGGGGGGGGGGGGGGGGGGGGGGGGGGGGGGGGGGGGGGGGGGGGGGGGGAAGGGGGGGGGGGGGGGGGGGGGGGGGGGGGGGGGGGGGGGGGGGGGGGAATGATGACCAGGGGGGGGGGGGGAGAGTGGTTACGGCGTCCCAACTTTTACAGCTAGGCGCTGCCACAGAGCCCACAAGGAAGGGAGAATGTTTATGGCACTCCTGGAAAGAAGTTTAAAATGACTGGTGAATACTTAAGTTTATTGAATTAAAAGTTATCTATGGGGAAATTCATACATACCAGCCTGTGCGGCCAGTTGCAGCCACAGAGCCCACAGGGAAGGGAGAGAGAGACCCAACAATCCCACGGCCAAATCCCACTGTGACATGAATAACAGTCAGTACACCAGAGGAACCAAGCTGAAGGTGAGAATACGGCAGACAACGGCAACTCACCAATAGTTGCAACACTGCAAGACCGGGAACCTCCCGAGGAGCCAATCCTCCTCAAACGCACCGGGTGTCAGCTGCGCTAAAACAGAGTAGTGTCAAGCCGTGTCGCTCGTGCCCATGAATAAATGACAGAATGCAAGATGTTTTACCTGTCTGGTAGAGAGTGTGATGGGCGAGCTGCCACGCCAAACAATCCACGCGGCCACAAAGGCGAAGCGGAGGGGGAGGGAGCAGATTTGTCTCCTCCACTTAAATAGCAGGTGCGCAAAATAGCAGGTGCGCTGGCATGGTGCCAAGCAGCGTCACAGAGGGAGGAGACGTGACGTCCGGTCACATCTGCATTAGAACTATAAGGTTTATCCTAAAAGCCAAACTCTTGGTAAGCAGTATTTCCAGCTGTGAAGATACACATCGCTTGTTCATGTCAGTGTTACATGAACACTCCCTCCTCTCCTCCCTGCTCCTCTTTGAGGCAGCAGCAAAGACTAGTTTTAGCTCTCAACAAGTTTTATCTTACCTTTTTTCACCTAGTTAACTTTTTACTTATTTATTCATGCATATTTTACTAATCACTACCCTCTCAAATGGAAATATGTGTTTACATAAATGGTGACCAAACCGTTTGAGACCCACTGAGAACTTAGACTAAGTCAGTGGCGGTTCTAGAACATTTTACATGGGGGGGCAAAGGGGGGGCAAGAGGGTCATGCCAGGGTGGCATGGGGAGGGCGGACAGTACGTGGTATTTTATACTGTATATAACCTATTTATTGTTAATTCATGCCCTAACACAAGTGTTCTTAATGCACAAGAGAAACAAGGTGTTCAGACAAACAATCGGGTGCCCTTTGAGTCCCCCCAAGCTTACCTCAACCATTTTAAATGAAAGGAAACTACAAAATGTATTTTAAAGCAATGTAAAATTAAATATATATTTTGTTTTAAAAAAAATTGGTTGTCTTAGACAGACATATTTGCATGTCCTCACTAAGCATTATTTCATATTAATTTAATATTAAACAAATCAAAATGGCCAATTATCCCAACATGTTGCTGCTAATATAATCATATGCTTGTCAACTTTAACTGATCAAAAATCAATTCTGAAAAAATACTTGAATTATCTATGAAATTGCAATATTGTCCCTCAGTTTGTTTCAACCCCGTCACGCCATACCATTTACCCTCCTATTAAAATAATGGATCAGTCCATGTGTGATCTGCATTGAGGGAATTACATCACAAAAGTGTCAGTTTCTTCTCTTACCTATATTTCAGTTTTTGTATTTTCAGATTAAGATTGACAAGCTCAACATTTCAACTATGTTGTATGAATTAATAATAGTAAATAATTGTTTATTACAAAAATAAACAATAGTTTTGCAAAATATTACAATTTTGTAATGTCCTTGACTTCCATGTGGTGCCATATCTAAACAAGGTCTCATGCTACTTTTTGTCAAAAACTTCAACCCTGTTACATTTCTTCAAGGAAATTCCTAGTAATTATTTATATTTTGGTGCCTGAGGTGAGAAATGTAAGTAGTCCACTACCAGATGTTATGACCAAACATTTTGGTTTCATTTTTCAAAGATATAAAGACCCAAAAGGCACCCGATTCAGAGAATACTCAGAATTCTGCATACTGTAAGTACTTAATTATAATTAAGTACACAATGACATCACCGCCATCACTTCAGAGAGCTACAGGTGACCTGTGCAGCAAACACATTTCAAATCAATATTTGTCAATACTAAGAGCTGCTAGATTGTGCTGCTGTAATGGAATATATAAGGAGAATAAGAACATACCATGTGGTCCAGCTGGAGTTTCATCTGCCTCCTGATCCCTGCCTCTGGCCCTCTTTCTGATACTTCATCTTTATTCCTCACATATATATCTTCTTCTTCTTCACTAATGTCTTCATCTCCTCCTCTTCCTCCTGGTCTCTTAATCTCCTCCTCTTCCTCCTGCTCTGACCCTCTTGGTTTCTTCATCTCTCTTTTCCATTTTCCTCTTTCTGTCGTCCTGATCACTTCTCATATGTCTTTTTGCTGTTGTTGAATCACTCCTATACTCTGGCCTGCAAGAGTCTACTTGTGAAAAGCACTGGTACAAATGCTTGTATAACTTTACACGTTAGGGCCATGTAGCCTAGCTAATATGTAGCATATCATAAATATAACATCAGAAAGTATTGATCAAGCGCACACAGGCAGCTATGTTTGGATCCAGTTTTTACGGTAAAGGATGTATCCTGGTTTCATTGATCTGGCCTCATGGCTGTGATGTGTAGTTTACGTGGATTTAATAGGAGGCTACCGCGTAGTTTAACAAAGTGATCGATCTCCCAGATAACGCTGTGTGCGTAGTATTTTGTAACGTAACGCCCCAAACAGCGCCCATCTGTTAAACGCTATCGATTCAAACGGCAGCGTTTTATTAATATTTAGTTTCAAGCACTCGTCCTTAGTAAAAACAAAACTAGTGGAAATGGAAAGGCTCCCAGGGGAAGCTGATCCATAGGTGCTGGGACAGCTCGCTCCCCTCTCTGCAGCGGTGTGAGCCGCGGTCTGTGTGAACAACCCAGTCTCACGGCATTTTGTGTTCACCAACACGATTTTTAATCTATTGATTCGTGTTCACCACAACACGATTTGCCCCTTTTTTTCGTGTTGCACAGCACGATTTTAAAAGCAATGTATTTCTACTGCCTGCAGCACGTCTTTTTCTCCGGTCGGGTCGTGGGAGACCGGAAGCTGTGGTGGTTCATAAAAACATGTTCTTACTCAATATCAAGCCACAGTTTATTGCTTTTATTTTAAATCGTATAATTTCGGACTTTTGTTGCCGTCTGTGAGGAAAATAAATGGGGCTCAGAGCCTTAGGATACTGAAATCTGTATTTTTTAAATCTTTTTTTCCTTCTAATTTGTTATTCTTTTCAAAATAACACATTGTTATTTACTCACAAATAACACACAATTATCCTTGCTTTTATTTATTGGTTTAATTCCATAATCTCGGGCATTTTTGGCGTCCGTCAGGAACTGAATTTCAAAATAAAAATAATCGGAAACAGACCATTTCGAGCGATTACCCAAGATCCTCAGCTATGGTTTTAAGCTCGCTTATTGGATGTTTTAGCCGCAATGCATGCTGGGATTTGGTGTTTATATGATATGAAATCCGAAAACATTTTAAAAGAATAAAATAATACTTAATTCCGAGCGCTCTTGCTTTTCTCTTTGAAAGTCATCACATAACGGCATTGTAATACACGGTTCGGCTGCATTGTATATTACAGATCTGCCGTAGTTCTTTATTTATAGAGCCCTGATGAGAAGACCTTTGGAAAAACTGAAGAAATGCCGCCGAAACTGAATACTTGACGTGGATCATAAATATATTCAACAATTAAACAACATCTTCATTTATCTTCACACAATACGTCTCCTTGCAGTATCAACACTAATTCGGCTGACTTTTACATTGATCTAATTCACAGATAGGTTATATTAACCATAACGGTGCACAGCTGATATAAGAGGACTGTAGTTTTTAAAGATATTTACTGATTTCTTTGAATGTAAGAATGTAATACTGAGTCTGAAATAGTATAGCAATATGCTGTAAATTACGTGAAAGCATGCATAAAACTAACACATCTTCAGATGTTGTACGAAAACCACAAGTGTCCTACATTTATAATACAAAGTTATTATGGCTGTGTGTACCTTGTGTGCACCTCCTAGTGGTTAAAGCACGTTATTGAATTATTGTTATATTTGATTACAAAAATATTAAGGAGTACATACTTTCATAGGGGGAGAAGTATAAATATAGATGTAAAAAAATGTGATTCTCATACAATAAAACAGTTTAGTGTTGTACAAAGATATTAATAGGAGGAGGTGCAAAACAGAAAAACGAATTAACCTTTATTTAAACATTAAATAACAGATTAAGGTCTTCTTTTAAATAAGAAAAAACGTTGGGGGTATCTATCTACAGATAAATATTAAGCCTGACAAAGTACTTAACGTCTAATATCTTGCTTTCCTGCAATGTTAACTATGTTGAAGCACTTATTTTTAACTGATATTATACATATGAATTATACTCTTATGTATGTAGATAGAATAAGACATTTGCAGAATATGACAGTTGATGGTGGAGGTACACACATATTGATAGATGTCTTGTTGAGGAACCTGTGACCCAAGTGTTTCATTCATTGCATAACTACACCGTAGTTGTGTATATGATATGTCAATAAACCTTTGAAAATTTTGAAAGGGATGTGCAAAATAGCCATAATATACAGTCTTTAATTAACTATTAGTAGAGAATAACAAGTAATGAATATACTTTATTACTCGTTTCCATTCATGTCAATTGCAGATACATGTTTAGTCTTCTCAAGCACCAATTATCAAATATCTCTCCTGATTGTTGGCACTTGACAATCACCTTACCTGAATTTTACTCAGGTGTAACTAAAGTCTGATTTAAGGGTTGTTTATATTTCACATAATTAATCAGAATCTGCAAAGTAACTCAAATAAATGCAGTGGAGTAAAAATACCAGGTTAACCTCTGAATTGTAGTGGAGTATAATTACAAAGTAACAATGAGCTGTCATGTGGGTATTAATGCTGCGCATTATGGACACAAGCGATTTTCACCCATTTATTAATTATATGTTTTACATTTGATAACACAAATGTGTTTAATACTGACAACTTCTAATTGTGGGAAAAACGAAAACGTTCAGTAGAGACGTCCCATAGAACATTTTGCGAAACACAATAGCCAGCATGTGTAGTTCTGGGGGGGCGTTCGATTCCAGTTTTAGATAGTCTGGCGTGGTTTCGTTCCATTTCACACAGCTGTTTGACGCTCTGCGTAACCTTACGGGACTGTAGTCCCTAAACGATAGCTGGGGATTATGGGTAGTGTAGTGTCTTCGGCCATCCTAAACTCAGAAATGTTGACAATCTCAGATGCTCGAAATGTCCCTTATAGGCCTACGTCTGTTTCCGGTTATTTTTATTTTGAAATTCAGTTCCTGACGGACGCCAAAAAAGCCCGAGATTATGGAATTAAACCAATAAATAAAAGCAAGGATAAATTATGTTTTATTGGTGAGTAAATAACAGTGTGTTATTTTTTAAAAGAATAACGAATTAGAAGGAACAAATATTTAAAAATACAGATTTCCGTATTCTGAGGCTCTGAGCCCCATTTATTTTCCTCACAGACGGCAACAAAAGTCCGAAATTATACGATTTAAAAATAAAAGCAATAATTGTGGCTTGATATTGGAGTAAGAACATGTTTTTATGAACCACACAGCTTCCGGTCTCCCACGACCCGACCGGAGAAAAAGACGTGCTGCAGGCAGTAGAAATACATTGCTTTTAAAATCGTGCTGTGCAACACGAAAAAAGGGACAAATCGTGTTGGTGAACACGAATCAATAGATTAAAATCGTGTTGGTGAACAGGAAAATGCCGTGAGACTGGGTTGGTGTGAACGCCGCTCCGCAGTTTAATGCAGGGCCGTAGCTGCGTTTTTAACGGGCCTAAAATGATATTTAAAATGATTCACTTTTAACAAATGTAATGCTTGTTTTGTTGCTTGAGAAGCTTGTGGAAATAGTGTAGGTTTGTTTTAGTACAGTTTTAGGAAAACAAAAATTAGGGGGGCAGCTGGGGGGGGGCAAGGCTCTACAGTGTCACCACAATCAGGACAGACTGTGCCCGAACCATGACCGCTGCAATGAGACTGCTCACATTCCAGCACATGCCGTGTGTTGCTCACGTGTTGCAAAGGACCATCACAGTTTGCCTTGCTGACAGCGGGTTCAGAGGCACATTGGCAAGATGTCGTAAGATAGTGGGGCATTTTAAACACAGCCCCTCAAACACAGAGGAACTGCACAAGGAGCAAACAGAACTAGAACAAGACAAAGAGCCACTGATACAGGATGTTTCCACAAGGTGGAATTCAACACTGTTTATGATCTCTCTGCTGAAGAACCAAGAGGCTGTGAAGGCTACTCTAGCCAAACAGAAGCACAAGCTCACCATGTTGACTACAGCAGAGTGGGACAGACTGCAGAGGCTCAAGACCCTCCTTAAACCATGCAGGTAAACACCCACCAACTGTTTTATTAATGGGATTAATTCATCATTGCTGTCCCTTGAAAAACGTTGTGAATTGACTATGATTGTGCAGTATAAATTAAATTGCTTTTCCAAAATGTATTGTACTGAATATCAATATCACTATGACTATAGTATAAAGTTGCTACTGTTTTTAATCTACTATTAATTGGTACAATAATAAATCACTTTCCTAAACTATCCACTGCAGATATGTGACTGAGCTCCTTGGGGGTGAGACTTATGTCTCGTGCTCTGTTGTGTTACCTGCTCTCCGCCACCTGACCCGCACCATGGAGTTCTCAGATAACGACCCAGCCTATGATGTGAGGTTCAAGGCTGCCTTTAAAAAGGACCTGTCTCAACGCCAAGATGCACTCAACCATGGATGGCTCAGGGTGGCTACAGCACTCGACCCGCGCTTTAAGGTAACATGTGTAATGGTCTTCTTTGTTTTTTCTCTTTTCTTGCTTTTTGACCTCCTTCCCCTGCGCCCCCCTCTTCTTCCCTCCCCCCTCTTTCTTTCTATGGAATAACAATATGATGGGAACCATGTACGAAAATGAATTTCACCCACCTTTTTACTCTGTAAATCTGTGATGTGACAATAAACCTGATTCTGATTCTGATTCTAAGGACCTAAAGTGTCTACCAAGAGGAGAGCGAGGAGGGGTGTGGACCAGCGTTGAGGCACTGCTGCAAAAAGAACCAGACAGAGCCACTCCAGAACCCACAGAGGAGCCAGCAAGGAAGAGGAGCTTCCTGCTGTTTAATTCAGACTCTGAATCAGAGGATGAAGAGGGGCCCCAACGGGGCTCTGGGCCACTACAGGGCAGAGCCCACCATCAGCGCTCGAAGGTCCGTTTACGCCGGTTGTTAAACAACATCGTTATGGGGAAATGCAAGTTGTAAAGTGTGTCGCCAATGTAACCGGTTAAAACTTGAAGTGGCGATGAGGTCTTAAAATGTATGGAAAGGGTCTTAAAAAAGGTCTTAAAAGGTATTACATTTGACTTCAGGATTCCTGCATATACCCTGTGAACTTTTTTAACAATAAAAACAGTGTTTTGATACTGAAACATTCATTTTTCATGTTTGATTTTTCACTGTAGGTTACTATGGAGACGGTTTGAATGCCATAATTGTGTTCGCTGTGTGCTATATGCCTGAAAGCAGTCAACCAAATTACAGATACATCATGGACAATTTATTCAAGTGAGTGTTTATTTGATTTCTTCTAGCCTGGTGAGCAAACCATTTGGATCCAGCGCTAATGCTATTTCCCTGTTTCCTGCAGGTATGTCATCGGCACACTTGAACTTTGGTTGCTGAGAACTATATGATTGTGTATTTGAACGGGGCCACCTCAAGGAAAAAGATGCCAACTGTCGGCTGGCTCAGAAAGTGTTATCAGCAGATTGACAGGAGGTCAGTCGGAGTGAACGTCACACTCAGAAACAAGCAGAGCATCAGGCCAATCCTCAGACAGTTGTATCTAATATGTGATTACATGTTGTCTATTTCCCTCCCTTTCTGTACAGGCTAAGGAAGAACTTGAAGTCTTTGATAATCGTTCATCCCTCCTGGTTTATTCGCACGCTGCTGGCACTCACAAAACCTTTCATAAGGTAATTTATAATGTTTAAAGTCACTAAAATGATGAAATTAAGATTCACTCTGGTAACCTTTTAGATTTTGATATTTCCCCTTTTTCTTTTTTGACAGCACCAAATTTAGTCAGAAACTCCAGTATGTGTTCAGCTTGACAGACCTTGCAGAACTGGTTCCAATGGAGTATGTGTCCATACCAGATTGTATCAAAGAGTAAGTACAGTCCACTCAAACACACGCACTTTTCAAGCCAAATCAGACCTTCTGGGATATGGCAACATGTTTGTTATGATACACGAGCGTTGTTATGTTTACATAGGGTGGTTCTCTGTTGAGGGAAGACATTTTGTTTCCATGAAGTGAACCTGGTGACTGCAGATCTTACAGCTGTGCAATGAATCAATACTTGAAATATAATAATTGAAAAAACCTGACTCCTCCAGTAGAAGTAATCTGACATGTATTTACCTTTTACAGATGTAATCTGTGTAGGTAAAAATGTAAGAAAACGTCATGTCCCTTGCTTTTTCCCCCTATTATCTGGCTGATTCTGCAGACTGTGGTTGGATTTCATTTGTAGGTGGTGCCACAGTAACATTTAGCTTTTCCTGTATGGCCAGTAAAGACAAGATGTCGGGGGTTTTAAGGCTGACTCACTAGAAGAGATCCAAATGCAAGCTACTAAGATTTAAACACTCATGAGTTTATTTAACCTTCAACAAGTATCAAGATTACTAGAAAATGTAGCTTTGTTTTGTCCCATAAACAGCTATCAAGGAATTAGTATTTTCCTCGGGTTGACCTTCGCTGTTCTGCATCATTATTGAGCTCATGCTGTATTTTCTACTTTACCTGATGCGGCCTAGTTTCCATGTGGCTTTTGTAAAAGCTTCAATGCAAATTCATCTCTTTACCAAATGTGTTTGCTCTTTTTGGATGTCTGGTTGCTGTTGGCTGTTATTCTTTTTTCCTTAACTCCATTTCCCTGCCCCCTCTTAAGGTTTGACGAAGAAAAAAATAGGAAAAGCCGTAAAAGGTATATACACTTACAACCAGGGTCAGTCTCAGCACTTTGTTGTTTTGCAATTCACAAACTAACAACGAAATGATCCGTTGGCTTTCAAAAATGCAACAATACACTTCGTTCTGTCCCGAATGTTTGTAGTTGGATGATTTGCTGTCCTCTCTAAATGTCCCACATTTTCCCCTCATTAAGGACGTTCACTCAATAGCAAACTGAGAAGCTTGGTTGGTTTCCAGAAATAGGTGGCTTGGTCATTATTTAACCAACTTAATCTAATTTCTGAGCCAATCCTGTAAAGTACATTTCAAAATCCATTCTTGTTTATATGTTCTCTATTCTTGCCTCAATTTAATATCAGCGATCAGTTGTTAAAACATCATGTACCCTTAGTAGCCTATTGCATAACAAAGGTACTGGTACAAGGTACAGACACTGAATCATTGATTTATGTCCAGCACATACTTTTCTAGCTAAATAACTGCATTGCTGCTTTCTGATATTAAAGTTGGGGCCTCAAGTAGATCTTACTTTGCATGTGTCTTTTTAAAAACCAGGTTTAGAATTTGATCTTGGGTAAATTTGTTCATATTTGTACGACTAGTGGGGTGGACCTACAGGGAAGTCTTTGTTACTGTGGTGTTGTGGTTTGCACTGTAACCATATCCTCACACGGATGCACTCGATAACTCTCTCACTGAACACTGGGCTTGTCCACTCTCACAGCTCTCTGCATGACTCACTGCATACCCACTCCTTGCTGATGTTTAGTAATACCGCAAACCTTACCATCATGCACATAGACTTTTTACTCTATAGCCTACTGATAAGCACAGACAAGGGGGTTATTGAATTGCAATTATGTTGTGGCTTATCAAAGTAAGGGTGTAAGGCATTTACTGTATCTGTATGCAGATGGTAAGTCTAGTAAGTTAAACCTTTAAGTGAAACATGAAATATGCTCTCATACTAAAAAGTCCCTTTGGTAATGGTGTAGAGGCAATGATCACATTTCAGTATGTCATAATATAAAAACGTTTCTGTTGCAGGGCAGCCTGTTTTTATTTTACATATCGGTTATCTTGTAATGTAATGTAATGTGTTGTTATATGACCTGTCATCCCAGTAGCACAGGTGTCTGATCACTGTTGAATTTCCCTGCAGAATCGACCAGGACGCGCACGGCAAAGTGGAGATCGCAGCGGCTGCTGTTCCAGAGTGACCCTGCTAGCCCGCACGATGTGGAGGAGGAAAACGACGGAGAATGTTTCAAACAGCCACTCGTATGTTTATGTTCTGGGCAACGTGACTGAAGACTTGTTTGCATCATGAAGTGCCTTTTTGAAACTGTGCTGCCTGTTACATCGTGGGACTTTTCACAGCTTGATCTTCAGCGTTCTTCCACTTGCTGTCTGAAATGTTTTTAATCTTATTTTTATTTACTGCCAATATATCATGTCCAACTTAGCTTATTGGTGTCCCCTAGTTACTGGTGTATCTACACGTTATGTAAGGCACTCTGTTACAAATGATTGATGCATGTTCTGCTTTATTACATTTAAATATATATTTATATTCAAAAGGTGACAAAGGAGAGAAATTAATATATTTTTATGGTTGCTTGCTGATTTTAAACTGCATTTTAGGTCTCTGACCCGTTGAGTGGCATTTCATTGAACACGTGTTGACAGCACCTTTTTCACTTTTCACTGCTGACGTTCTCTATCAAAATCCTGCCTGGGGGAAAATAAAGTTTTATTTTTTTCCCTTCACTCAGAATGTGCCCTTTGAGTTGTGTAGGGAGAACATTTGTGAGAGCAATGATCTGAAGCAAAGATGTAGGTCTTAATGTAACATTTCCTCCAAGTAAAGTCATGGATTTCATCATTGTTTTTTATTTCATACAAGATAGGTAGGTAAATGACAGCATTTGAGATAAAAAAAAATCACCAAAATATGTTTGAAAACAAATTATATTCACATTACTTCAATCAATTCAATTGGTTTGCTTTAGATACTACTGTATACTGTTTTTACCTTCTTTATCTCATCCACTTAGACTCCACTAGATGGCACCACAAATATCGATTTCATTGAAGTTGGAGTTTATCATCATTTCAATATAGCCTACTGACAATAACAGCCACATTCATAAAAACATGACAAGACAGATAGTATCTTGAAGATAATTAATAGAGAATGAATCAAGAGATTTCAGTTAAATAATGGCAATATAAAAATAAACGTAATGATCTGTATTAAATATAAACTTAAAATATTATACATTTTAGCTGATTAAGCCTTACAAATTGTTAGCAGTGATCTGTTACCATGTCATGTCCTAACATCTTAAACCGCAGAACTGACTCCAGACACCTAATGGCGATGTCATCAACCTCAGGATCAAACTTATTTGCAAAGAGGTGATGTTGTTGAAGGAGCCAGGCGAGGTCTCCAGCGCCGTACACACACACTGATCTTCTGTAAGCACCGGTGCAATGATCGTACGGGGCTCCATCTTTTATACTGCCTGCATGATAGCCCCACTTCACCACGCACGCGATGGCTTGCATGTCTGACTCATCATACTTGATGTTGGCAGGGATCGATCCTGGAACGGAGGGCATCCTCTGCAGGGTCGCCCACAGGTTCTCTCGGGGGCTGTAAGTGTCCCTCTCCCACTCCAATAACTTCTGAGCCTCTCTGTCCTGCATCAAATGCTTCACAAAGGCTCTCGTGACCACAAAGTAGGCATTTCCCATGAACATAGGGCTGCTAATAGGTGGGGGACTTTTCTTCACATCAGTCCTTACGACAGTGCCACTAACATTGTGATGATACTGCCAGCGAGCTTTCTTGTAGTTATTGGTGGCCTCTGTCTCCATGCTGTTTCTCCCTTTAAGGCTTTTAGACCTGAACCATTTCCCTGTTGGTTTTGATGGGAAAGTCGCTCCCGCAGGTGTTTAGCATGTACCTCCACTGGACGTGTGAGTTCAGCAGATCTTTCATGCAGTTCAAATCCGCCTGCACTCGGGACCATGAGGCATAAACCACACGTTCTAACCTACTGGCTAGAAACACATTAGGAAGGCAGGAAACAATTGCCTTCACTCCCTTCAGAAAATCTTCAGAGGATTTCTGATCCACATGCACACAGTAGATATTCTGAGGAGTGTAAATAGCTCTTAGAAGACGCTCAAACATCTCTATCTTTTCATGAATAACCATTGAGTAGGCAATGGGAAAATCCTTTTCTTCTTCACTGAAGGGTGATGTAATGAAACCTCTCTTAAGGTAAGCTGGACAGTCCTTTGTCACGTTAAGGTAGAAGTCCTCAGTTAGTACTTTATGTCTTTTCCTGGATCCCAAAAGCACTTCTAATTGTTTTTTCTTGCCGGTAATGTCTCCACTGATAATAGCTGAGCAGCCAGGCAGGTCAGTAAAAAACTGCTGTGGTATTCTGAGATCAGGCAACGACTGCTTGTTGGAGTCAGTTTTCCAAAGGAAAAATGAAAGCAAAGTACCTATGAGGATGAGAGAGAGGGTCCTCAAAGTCAGGTGAATGAAAAACCTTGCCATTCCTTGGCTGTAGTCACTTCAGCATCGGTGATCTTTGTTTCACTGCAAGCTAAAGTTTGACAGGTACATCTAATGAAAAACTGAATCAGCCCTCTCAGTAGGTGTGTTAAACTAAGGTTGTTAGGCATTTGTTGAGCAAACTATATGGTAACC